CTGCAAGTTTCCTATGCTATATTTAAGCAGTTTGTTCATAAAAATCCCACAAAAGAAAAAAATAGAATAATTTTCTACTAATCTTGAATATATTTCATACTTAAGCCAGAGATAAAATTTAATAACAAAATGAAAATGTAGCCAGGAAATTACAATGAGGTTCAACAGGAAAAATTGCTGGTTAATAGGCGAGATGTCAAACTATAAAATGTAGAACATCTGGATTTGTGCAAATCATGCATAAAACAATTGAGGCCGGAGTAATCACCAGGAAACAGGAGTAAGCAAAGGTGAAGCAACTGTGATATTGGCACCTATAATGGGGAGATGGAGTGGGCGATAGGCCCTTGGCCATCACCTCATTGCAGACCATCTCATAGAAGAACTATCTCTGTCTCCTGAGCAAGGAATGTCTATACTTTTGTCATTAGACAATATTTGAAAATGCATGAATTATAGTGTAAGAGCCACTCAAAACTTTCTACAAAAATATATCCTTTATAAAAATGAAATTTTCATTTATGACCAAAATAAGAAATTTCTTAACACTCATTAAAACAACTGTTTGTGAAAAGCAGTTTTTTTGTTTGTTTCTTTTTGAGACAGAGTCTTGCTCTGTTGCATAAGCTGGAGTGCAGTGGCACAATCTCGGCGCACTGCAACCTCCACCTCCAGGGTTCAAATGATTCTCCTGCCTCAGCCTCCTGAGTAGCTGGGATTACAGGCGCGTGCCACCATGCCTGGCTAATTTTTGTATTTTTAGTAGAGACAGGGTTTCACCATGTTGGCCAGGCTAGTCTCAGACTCCTGACCTCAGGTGATCTGCCCGCCTTGGCTTCCCAAAGTGCTAGGATTACAGGTGTGAGCCACCATGCCTGACCAGAAGAGCATATTTTTGATGAATGTTTTATATCAACTTTATGAAATATTTGGATTCCAAAAAAAACAACTACTTGAAATTCTACAGAATTGTGTACGGGATTAGATATGAATGTGTGTATATATATTTTAGGAAATGTGTTAAATGCAGAAAAACACAATAATAAATGGCCAATATGCAAAATTAAGAGTTGTCCACATTATTATACTTGTTTCATTTGTTCTGAATAACACATCACAAAAAAATAAATCTTTTTAACTTCTAAATTGCCAGTCCACTACAATCAACCTCTACAAATGCTGAAATTTTTTATTTATCCATTTATTCATTCATTTATTTTTTGAGACAGGGTCGCTCTGCTACCCAGGTTTGAGTGCAGTGGTGCTATAATGGCTCAATGCAGCCTCAGCCTCCCCAGGCTCAGGTGACCCTCCCACCTCAGCCTCCCAGGTAGCTGGGACTACAAGTGCACGACACCATGCTTGGCTAATTTTTGTACTTTTTGTAGAGATGGGGTTTTGCCATGTTGCCCAGGCTGGTCTTATTTTCTAATAAATCATAGGAATTTAATAAATAAGATGTCTTATCTGCTTCGCCCCCCCCAAAAAGTAAAAAATTGAGTTTATTTTCTTCTAGTACCTCTATATTTTTATATTAAAAATATCATTCTGTAGTCAGACTTTTTACTTCCATGCACTGTTGACTAGCATTCTTTAAGCATAGAGAAATCTCAATATGTTCTTCCAAACACAGAAGCATAGAATTCCATTATCAGTGTTTCCCAAATTCTGGCTTAAAAATATTAAGATCCATTGTTTAAAACCTTAGACTGCAGATACTTGGATTTTTCTATATAGTTCTGGATTTTTAAATTTTATACAAAACGTGGCTCTGAAGAAAATAAAAAACAGAATCCATTAAATGAAAGAGAACACAATAAGTTGTCAGTCTAAAAAGGATAAAGTATCATTACTGACTTCTGCATGTGCATTGCAGGATAAAGTAAATGTAGAGTTACTGGTCAACATCGGGAACTTGGATTTTTGGCCTGAGAGGAAGGAGAAATAAAAGTTAAGTCATGAGAATGGTAAAGATTGTTTGGGACCAGCTTGGGCAACATAGTGAAACTCCATCTCTACCAAAAAAATATAGAAACTAGCCGGCTGTGGTGGTACATGCCTGTAGTCCCAGCTACATGGGAGGCTAAGGTAGGAGGATCACCTGAGGCTGGAGAGGTTGAGGCTGTAGGGAGCCGTGATTGTGCCACTGCATTTCAGCCTGGGTGACGGAGTGAGATCTTGTCTCCAAAAAAAAAAAAAAGATAATAGATTATATATGTCTATTCTACCTCAATAAGTAAATTTCCACTTCTGGCTTCTTTAAAGACTTAAATACAAGAACTTACTCAGCACCAACAACCGCCTTTAGTACCCAGATAGTGGTTTCTAAATATTATCTCCTCTCTACCATAGGAATTAGGGCTCTGATATGGTTTGGCTGGGTCCCCACCAAAATCTCAACTTGAATTGTATCTCCCAGAATTCCCACCTATTGTGGGAGGGACCCAGCCGGGGGCGGGGGTCGGGGGATGGTGGTAATTGAATCATAGGGGCTGGTGTTCCCTATGCTATTCTCATGATAGTAAGTCTCTCGAGATCTCACGGGTTTATCAGGGGTTTCCGCTTTTGCTTCTTCCTCGTTTTCTCTTTCCTCTACCATGTAAGAAGTGCCTTATGCCTCCCGCCATGATTGTGAGGTCTCCCCAGTCATGTGGAACTGTAAGTCCAATTAAACCTCTCTTTCTTCCCAGTTTCGGGTATGTCTTTTATCAGCAGCATGAAAGGCTTTTTGGAGAAATGGCTGATTCCAGTTCTGGACAAGAAATATACAACATGCCTGGCCCGAAATACCTTGTAATTAAAGAAAAAAATCAAACTATCACCATCAAATGGAATAGCAGTGGACTTAAAACACATCAAAATCATGTCTTAAAATCACTGGCATATAAAAAAGTACACATCCATAAGTTTATAATGATTCTTAAGAAAACAAATCTTATTGTTTACATGCTAACTTAAAAAAAAAACCTGATGAATATAGACAAAGAATCGAGCATTTATCCTAATCTTTGCTATAATAACTGTATATACTTCAAGATAGTTGATAAAGGCAAGTTGTTTCTTATAGAAAACCTCTTCAAATATTAAACCTGAATGTAATAAACCTTCTAGATCTAACTACAACTTAAAAGAAATAGAAGGTACAGAAAAATGGAATCAAGCAAAATCCAGGCCAGAGGAAACTCTATGGGGTAAACTATCTGGTTTCTTCAAAGGATGAATCATAAGGAAAAAGAGAGGAAATCTGTAAGTCAAAAGATATCAGTTAATGGAAATGTAAAGATCTCATTTTGATCCAGGTTCTTAAAAATAAACTGTAAAACAGGAATCATTTATGAGACAACTAAAGACATTTGAAATTTAATGAGAAATTATTTATTTAGGTAAGATCATAATACTGTGTTTATTTTTAAAGAGTACTTAACCTTTAGCCATGGTATGATTTCAATAAGAATTATTTCAGCCTCTATTATTAATAGTTCCAAATAATTTGGGGATGAGAAACAAGGTGAGCAAGATTAAATGAAGTAAAATCAGCCAAGTGTTGACAATTGTTTAATCAAGGTAAGGGGTGCAGGGGAGTCATTGTACTTTTTTACTCTGCTTACAAGTGTTAAAATTTAAAATAACAAAAGATAAAGGTTCAGGGAATATTGAAAAATCAGTAAAATGGTGAAAGGCTTCATTAGGATAGAGATAAATTCCCCACAAATATCAAAATACTTTAGGTGAGGCATATCTGTCAAACTTAAATGTAAATAAAAATGAAAAGACTTCTTTATATTACAGAGAATCATGACCTGATACAGATTGAACTGGAAGGAGATTTTAGTGACAGATCCAAATCATGAGTACTTCAAACTTAGGGCCTTACAAATTGCACTGAAATAAAAAGTATATTCAGCAGTGGTGAGCAAGTGGGTGTTTTAGATGGAGGGATCCAACATTATGGAAAGGCACAGATCATAAGAGTTTAATGGAAATACTCTTCCTGCTCAGTCATTTTTAATAAGCTTTAAGTGACTAATGAAGCTTTAATGATAACATCCAGTTCTGCTTAGAAGTAGAACAGTTAATATACAATATGAAAAAATACAAATGAGTATTTATAAATATGAAAATGAATAGTTTTGTGTTTCATAGTATATGTACATTTACTCTCCTCCTGTTCTTCCCCAAGCCTAGTTATAAACTTGCTCGTTTTGACAAGCAAAACACCAACAGAACAGGTGCCTTTGTTAGCACTCTAGGTAAATCCTGGCACTTGCTTGGACACCAGCTGGGTGCTAATTAGTCTTGTGATTGCCTAGATCACAAAATAATACAAGACTGGAAATGCTCCTGAAAGCTTCTGGAGGAATGAGTCTGCACACCGGCTGACAGATGCCCTGGAGAGAACAGGCCTTGTCCTGACAGCCTCTGTGTTGAGTTCTTTCACATTTGTGAAGCTAGAGCTGGCTACATAAGCACATGCCTGCAAGTCTGTTCAGGGAATGTGGGTGGAGGGTGCTTTTGAAGATGCAGAGCAAAAGCATTCTCTGGTCTATCAATACTGACACAGATGTCCAGTGTCTGGTCTATGTCTAAGCGTCATCTTTTGATTAAGTGTTAGCAATAGCACACCCAGGGTATTTGAACCCTATTCTCCAATAGACTTCAACAGGTTACTTGTGTGCCTTCCCATTTAACCTTTCATCTATATTTAGCCAATAACACTAATGAATTACTGTACTGCTTCTCATCCTAACAGATGAATCAGATTACTGCATGGCCAATTTGGACAGGACAAGAGATGGCCTGACAATTCTCGAAATATACAAGGTTGGATACATCATGGCAAATGGTTGCAGTGAAGGCTTTCTTTCTGAACACTTTATTTTATGTCCTCATCATATTCAATAATCAAAAATATCAGATTTAAAATCAAATGCTCAATCATTGCATTCTTTCAGCAAGTGATAAAATGGATACATTTTATTAGAAAAATGAAAAAAACCTACCTGAAGACTGCAAGGGTCAGAGACCAGAGCACTAATGGCTTCCTCAGTTCAAACTTTGCTCGTTTGTTCATTAGGTGCCGACCACCGAATACAAAGGCAGCATACAGAGCAGAAAACAGGAAAGATTTCTTCCTGCAAACAAGCAAACAAAATCTTTAAGATATTTTTAGTCATTAGGAAACATCAAATTTTGTACCAGTTCTCCTCTTTTTAAGCATTGAAAAAATATTCTTGAGAATATTCCTGCTTCACTGAAGAGGGAGTCTAGTCCACATGGCAAACTGGTGTTCTATTGAAATCTCCCTTGACAAATCAGGTCTTCCAGCAGTTTAACCAACATATTAAGTATCACGCCAGAATAGACATACTTCCTTTGTAGGCTCTATGACTGAAATTTCAATAACATAGCATCGAAGTACAAAAAGTAGCCTTTTCACTGAGAGAAATAATTTTATTCTTTAGAGTTTGTTGAGCCAATTTAGATACATACATGAATTTTTAAAAAGTATTTTTATTGGAACTATTTGGTGACATGGTTGTGTCTTGGAACAAGATAGACATTTAAAATTTTATCTTGGGTGGGCGTGGTGGCTCATGCCTATTATCCCAGCACTTTGGGAGGTTGAGGTGGGTGGATCACTTCAGGCCAGGAGTTTGAGACCAGACTGGCCAACATGGTAAAACTCCCTCTCTATTAAAAATAAAAAATGTAGCCAGGCATGGTGGTGGGCACCTGTTATCTTAGCTACTTGGGAGACTGAGGCAGGAGAATCGCTTGAACCCAGAAGGCAGAGGTTGCAATGAGCCACGATTTTTGAGACTCCCTCTCAAAAAGGCAAAAGAATGAAAGAATGGTTACTCCATAGGCAGATTAGCCCTGAGGACTGCTGGCTGGCTATTTTTATGGGTTTTTAAATTACATGCTAAACAAGGGGTGGATTATTCATGAGTGTGCTGGGGAAAGGGGCGGAGATTTCCCCAGGAAGAGAACTGAGGGTTCCTTCCATTTTTAGACTGTATACTCTACCATGGCATTTGTAAATTGTCATGGTGTTGATGGGAGTGTCTTTTAGCATGCTAATGCATTATAATTAGCATATAATAAGCAGTGAGGATGATCAGAGGTCACTTTTGTTACCATCTTGGTTTGGGTGAGTTTTGGCCAGCTGCTTAACCATATCCTGTTTTATCAGCAGGGTCTTTGTGATCTTGTGATCTTGTGCCAACCTTCTATATTATCCTGTGACTAAGAATTCCTAACCTCCTGGGAATGCAGCCCAGTAGGTCTCAGACTCATTTTACTTAGCCCCTATTCAAGATAAAGTCACTCTAGTTCAAATGCCTCTGACAACAATACTGATAATGCCAAAAAATAAATTCAAAAGCAAAAATCAACAAACTTCTATAATAGAACTATGATTTGACAGAAAGCAATAGAAACCTTATAAATAATTTAAACAGTTGAGCATGTTTCCTAAGAAAGCAATGTTTCTCTTAAAATGGGTCTTCCCCATTCAATTAGATCAATAAGGAAAGGGTTGAGAAGTAAGTTACAAAACATAATATCAAAAGCAAAATGTGTTCACCTAAAGAGTATTATTTGTAAAATGCTTCATGTTTTCTCCCTTCATGCTGACATGTAATGCTGACTCATAAGGGACTTTGCTATTTACACAAAGCAGCATTCCTATGTAAATGAATGCAAGTGACCTACTTAGTGAATACCAAATAATGCAATGATTCCAGAAATCAACGCAGAAGTAAAAATTAAATAAATCACTTTCACTGAGGTTTACAGACTCTTCTCTTGGTCACACAAGACCTGGAACACAGTAGGTGCTTAATAAATATCTGTTGAATTAACATGGTCTTGTCCTATCAAATTTTCTGATGGGGAAAATAATTAGGCATGTGTGTACAGTAAACAGGCAGTAAACACAAAGTTGTACTTTCCCTGTAATAATAACTAAAGAGTCCGATATTCAGAAAAATATTATGTTACATTTTCTTCCCCCAGAAAGACATTGATTATTTCTATACTTCAATGAAAAGTGGAAAAGTGAGACAATTTTGTGGAAACTTTAACTATTGGACATTTCAGGAGGAAAGTACTTTTGGCCATAAATTATATATATATTGCTTTATTTCTCCTGTGGAAATTGCAAGGGCATGGAATTAAATTACTTAAGAGTCACAATCACCATTTCTGTTTATGCACATATAAGCAAAGACTAAAGAAAAATAAAGTTCTACCAAGTAGGCGATAGTAATATGAAAAAGTATATACTTTTTTCTAATTTATAAAGGTAATAAATGACAATAATCACATATAATGATTTATAGAGTGTCTACCTATGGGTAGACATGATGCCAAAAAGCTTTACCATTTAATACTCATGGTGCAGGTAAAGTATTATCTTTATTTCATAGATAAACAGGCTTAGAGGTAAAGTAGGCCTAGATTTTCCTGTTCTTGTGGTAAACTTTCAGAAGAAAAAGGGGTACTTGATGTGTTATCTTATAAGCTGTAAAAATTCCTTAAGCTCTCCTGTTGAATTACATAATCATTGCATAATGTGTAGAACATTGTGTAACTGTGAAAAGATGAAGAAGAATTTCCTATCTTCATGTTTCTACTGTCATATTTTCTGAGCCTGGGAAACTTTCATCCAAACCCTCTTTGCTTCTTTGAGAACAGAAATTAGTTATACATATACCACTGAAGACATTTCCTTAACATTATTATTTATCTTACCCATTCAACATACTTGAGATTCTGATTTTTGCTGTATTAACTGTATTACTTGCAATCATAAACAAACCAAGTTAAATGAATGTCTTCATACAATCCTATCATTCTAGCCATAAAGGGAAAAGTAATGCCTCAAGAACCAAGAAAAGAATAAAAAATCTTCCCTATGTATTTTTTCTCTAATTTCCTCACTTCTAAAATGAGAAGTAGTCCTAATGCACTGCTCACATCCCAGCAAGGGCCATTCACTTTTCCACATAATTTTTAGAGCTCTCTACAAAGCAATTCAACAGCTAAGGCAATGAAGTCAGTCAGTACAGAATCATAGAACTTGATAATTGCAAGGAACCTTAGAGGTGGAGCCCAATTTCCTCCTTCAACAGAAGAGAGAATAGGGAACCTGATGACAGTAGTCACTCACAGTCACACAGCTGCACACTCTACACTGCTCAAGACTATCCAACATTGTCATGGCTGTGGTCAAGCAGGTAGGTAAACACAAAATAACTGTATAAGCTATATCTGGGTTACAGGTAGTTAACGGGAATCGGTTTAAGTGCTGTGATCAAAGTAAGTTGTTCATTGCGTGCACAGAAATCTTTTACTGTGGTGAAATTCAAATCCTTTGGGTTAGTTTAGAATTAAACCTAAGCATCTGCTACAAGTGGGAGTTGCCTAAGGAAGCATTAACACTTACCTCTTTAACTGAGTTATTTATGGTTGAATGTATCCATACTGCTTAGAAGAAGGTAAGATTTTCTTTAATGAACAGAGCAATTTTAATGAATTAAAATTGCCTTTCCTTTCTGGCATCTCTCCAGTAAAGTTCAACTGTATTCAAGATGAATAATGGTTTGCCACTAGCCCACGTAGCTTTTAATGTGGATAGATTGCTTTCCTAATGGTTCAGTGGTAATACTTTGTATACTGGCAGGCCTCCATACTTGGGTATAATGGTAACACTATACTGTTTTATTATCAGATAATTAGTCATTTTGAGATAGCATGGACTCTTCTCGTTTAATAAATTTTAAATGTGCATCATATAGCACAACCCGTAATTATAGGTACTTAATAAGTACTTTTCAGCATGGTGATTTGGGAGTTATGATTACCAGGTGACCAACCAAATAAAGACAACCCCAACGAAATACTGATGTGCTTTAATTCTGTCAAGCTTATATTTATCCTTTTTACCCTTCTATTTCTGTCATCAAGATGAACAATGGAAATTATTCCATAATTAATAAAAATGAATAGTGGATTTATCCTTAGAAATCTGAATTTCTCTATCATACTGTCTTGTTCCAAAACATTCCTAGGACATGCTTTTTTGATTCTTACCAGAGTAGCTGAGCAAGTTCTCACTTATGATTTGTATTTATTGCTCTACCCATTAACATTTCTGAAACAGCATGCATAAATTGAAATATATGCTTTTTTAAACTCATGGGATGTCACTGAAACCAGTGCTTAGCTTGAGTCTCCTTAGCATTCACATCAAAATTTCTGTACCCCAAGAGTCAAACTAGTTTATTTGCTAATGAAGAAATGTTTATGTGGGCAGTATTTCAACATAGGATTAATTGCTAATGAACAGCTTGGGAAGCTGACCTGAGCTCCCTCCTGGCTCTTTCATGTCGTATCTACAAGCTCTTCATTATGACTATTGTACACATGTGAGGTACAAGGAGTTGGGAAAGTAAAAAGCAGTGAAGGAAAAAAGAAAAGGGCACTGCCCAGTTCAGCTGATACCTATCTACCTAGTGCAGAAAAAGTTTTCATGTTCTAAGGTGAAGAGTCTGACGCTGAGACAGAATGCCAACTGGTGCACCCCCCTCCTAAGAGTCCTCTTGTAGTTGAGTTTCTGACTCAAGTCAGGAAACAACGTATGGTTCTGAAAGTGATTTTAAGGATACAAATAAAGTAGGGACCCAGAGACTAGAGGAAATAACACTACTTTTTGCCAATATGACATTTAATGTATGTCTATGGTGGTTATAATTTGATAAGAATATTAAAATAAGATTATCTTGAGAGGGATCCTGAGGTTTCTTAAAGTCCTTCCCAGGGCTGAATTCTGTCACATTCTTAAGGATTCTGCAAGACTTCATATAGGCATTTCTTTACATTAAAAAAATGGAAATTTTTCAGCAGTTTTTTCTTTTTTTTTTTCTTTTGAGGCAAGGTCTCATTCTGTCGTCTAGGCTGGAGTGTAGTGGTGTGATCATGGCTCACTGCAGCCTCAGCCTCCTGGGCTCAAGTAGTCTTCCCACTTCAGCCTTCTGGGTAGCTGGCACTACAGGTGTGCCTAATTCTTTTAATTTTTTTGCAGAGATGGGGTCCCAGTATGTTGGCCAGACTGGTCCCCAACTCCTGG